CTCCCCCCCTGGTGGTGAGGGCCCCGTGAATCGCGGCCTGATTGGGTGACAGGCCCGTCCCCTCCCCCGCCACTGGGGCTGCCAGGCGGTCTCAAGACAGGAGAGGCTGCGGGGGGGGGGGCTGCGCTCGGGGCGGGGGGGGGGGCGGGCTGTGGACACCCCACGGTGGGAAGCCAGTCCCAGGGCCCAGCTCCTCCCAGCCCGACCTCCTTCCTCCCAGGGCTTCTGGGCCTGCGGAGCAGGATCAGGGTGGGGGGGGCGGTGGGTGCAGAGCAGACGCAGGGCCAGCCCCTGCCCCCGCCTCTCCCCGGGGACCCGGAGCTCCAGACAGACAGGGCCGAGGCTCTTGGGGCCTCCTAGTCGGTGTGGTCACCTCCCAGACTGTGAGCTTCACGGGGACATCGGTCTCCTCGCTGCCACTCTCTAGGCCCCGCTCCCAGGCTGCCGCCGTGTGGACCTGGGGGGGGGCCCTCGGGGGGGACACGTTCGGGGCCTCCGTGTGGCCGGACCCCCGTCCCCACCCCCCTTGTTTGGACACCACCTGCAAAGCCCTCTCGGACACGACGTGGTCACTCAGCAGCTCTGCCCTTGCATGGGGGGTGGGGGGCTCTGGGGGGGGTGCTCTGCCGTCCGTCCCCTTGGCCTTTGGTTTCCTACCAGGCGTCCCGGGAGGGAAGAGGAGGTGGGACCCTGGTTCCCAGCCCAGCCCGGCCCATCCTGACCTGGAGCCCGGAGCCTGGCCCCTGCCTGAGGGTGGGGTTTGATGGCGACCCCACCCTCCCTGCACGGCTGCCGCGCAGCCCAGCTCGGGGGGCTTCTGTCTGTGCACGGCTTGGAGAGACAGACAGGGGGGTAGCTGGACAGGTAGACACTGCAGCTGAGTGGCAGGCTGTTGAGGGGGTGTCCCGTGGTCTGTCCCACAGTCGGCACTGAGTCCCCCCCACAAGGGCCACACTTACCAAAACCCCCCAACAGCCCCGGGGAGGGAGGGACTGCCCTGCTGTCAGTAAGGGGGGGTGGGCTCTGAGAATCAATGAGAAGGAGGAGGAGCACCCAGGCCGTGGCACGGGGTGAATAAGCAGAGCTAACGTTACGTGTGGTACCTGCGGAGTGACAAGTACTCATCATGAAGTGCGGTGTGAGGAGGTGACGGCACGTGGTGACCTGCAGCGCACATAGTCACCTTACACTTGGGGGGAGGGAGGGAGGGAGGGACAGACTGCCGTGGAGGGCGGGCGGGGCGGGAAGACCCAGCCCGTTTCCCGGGCGGGCGGGTCCGTGGGGCCCCTCTGTGCTCTCAGACCGGCACAAACTTGTTCTTGTCTGTCCAGGGCGGTTTCACGGCCACTGTCTGCCTCGGTTTACCTTTCTGTGTCCCCACCCCCTGACCCCACACGTGGCCTGTCCTGCCCTGCTCTGCGGGCCCGCTGACCCCGTCCACACCTGGGTCTCAGGGACCAGGGACGGCTGTCCCTCTCCGCTGTCACACGGCTCCCCGTTCGGTGCTCCCACCCGAGACTGTGTCCCGACCCCAGACTGAGGCTGGCAGCTGCGACCCACACGGGTCTTCCCAGGGGCCCCGGAGGCTTCGCCTCGCCGATGCCTCCCTCTCCTCCCCGCTGGCCCCCACAGGCCCCTCCCGGGGGAGAGCTGCTTGCCACACACCCTCCCTGGCCGAGCAGGCCACGGGGGTCGCGTTTACCGGCCCCCTCCCCACTCTGCTGAGCCGGGCACCCAACACCACTTCTCCGGAGCGCGCCGTCCGCTGTGGGGCCGCCACTCTGGCTGCACCGGCTCCCGGGCCCGCAGCTGGCGGGCGCCAGGGAGGGGAGAACCCAGGCGGGTGAGCGTTTGCTCAGTGGGGTGTTCTGGGGAGTGGGCGGGGCCGTGTGCCGCTGAGGCCGCATGCGGGCCCCCAGGCCCCCCCCATTCCACTGGGTTCCTTTCAACTCTGCAGGCCTGGAAGTAACGAGCGTTTTCATCTTCCTCTCTTTTGGATTCTGATATTTTATTTAAAACAACAGAGTAGTGTAACTTGAAAAAAAAAAAACCCTTCTGCAAGCTGCAAAATCTTATTTCGTCGATGTCTCCCTGACACCCAACGCCATTTTCTCCTGAAGGTAAAGGTAATTAGCGTGAGCGGGCATTTGCGTGTTTCTCGTGGCGTGGACCTGCTCTTGCTCAGATGTTGTCCTGTCTCCCCGTGGCCGGGCGGTTCTGCCAGTTTCGCACGGACAGACTGAGGGCTGTTCCCGTTGGTGAGGAGAGCTCAAGGCCAGGTGGCATAGAGATCGCATGTTCTCATCGTGTTTTACAGGTGGACAAAGGGCCTGAGTTTATGTGACGCCAGCCACGGGCCTGGCCCAGGTCTGGCCCCTCGGGGCGCTGACGGGTCTGTAGACCTGCGGGCCAGCGGCAGGTCCGCCTGGCACGGAGCCCTGCCCACCGCCGGGCCCTGCCCCGGTTCCTGTGCTCAGGGAGGGCACGGCTCCCTGCGCTGAGAGTCACCGAAACCCCCACTGGAGTGCGAGTCTCCTGTCCGTGGGGAGCAGGGCTGGTCCTGGGTCGAGGGGGGGTGTGGATACGGGGAGCCCTCGTCCCAGGTGCCCCATCGTGCCTGTGAGTCACCCCCGGGAGCCGTCCTGCACCCGTGGTGTCCTGGCTGTGCCCCTGCAGTGGAGCCCTCCCCAGGGTGCAGCAAAGGGCCCCGAGCGCTGTGTTGAGTGGACACAGGGCGGCCGGTGCTCTGAGGGTCTTTGCGTGGACAGCGATTTCCAGCTTCCGTTCAGAATCCAGCAGTGGCCCAAGGCGTCTCGGCCTCGGGACGCAGGGGGCCAGGGAGGGACCCAGTGTCAGCAGCGGACAGAGGCCGACTCCAGCAGAACCACCCCAAGGACAGTGCCGCCTGGGACGGGGAGAGACCCCCCTGTGCCCGCGGAGGCGCCCGCAGAGGGTGGCCGAAGCCTGCCTTTCTGGGGGCATGGGGTGAGTGCGCACGGCACCTCGTTTTTGCAGAGAGCAGGTGAGTGCCCGGCTCCGCCACGACGGGCCCCCAGGACCAGCTTCCAAATGGTGGAGAAGGGTCACAGCTTGTGCTCACGCAGGGCCCGCTCGGGGGCCCGTGTCACCCGCCTCAGGGTGGCTGGCCAGGCCCCGCAGCCTGGCTGTGACAACCAGGGGGAAGGCACCACCACGTTCGCGGGCACCCACGGACAGAGGCACATGAACAGAAGCTCGAGCTGAATAGTAACAAGCCCCACGTCTGGGGAGCTGTTTGATTTTAGGTGAGAAAAACAAGGTCTTGCCAGGACTTGTGCGTCACAGAGAGAGGAGTTTGCTAATTGAAAAAAATGGTTTGCGTGGAGAAAATATGGAGATGCCAGCTATGCAAATTACCATACGCCCAGCTCGGAAAGCAGCGCTGCCAGAGCAGGAGGGGGTCAGGCAAATCAGGGCGTGAGGAAACAGCCCTAGAAGCCCGTTGAAAGCGCTCAACTGTCTTGCTTGATCTCGGGAGGGTGGTGCGGACCAGTCCAGAGGTGATGGAGACCCCGTTTTGGAGAGCCCCAGCTGTGTCTGTGGGTGCAGGTGGGTCGGTGCTCGCCGTCCCGCAGGGTCGGGGCGAGCTTTTCCTACGTACGAGCTCTGGAACGCGAGCCTCACGACGGCGCCGTGGCCTGGAGCGGCGGGAGGCCCCTTCATCAAACCCTCCGGAGACGCCCTGGGCTCGCGCCGCAGGCTGGATGCTCCGGCTTCCCCACCAAGCGACCTGAAGTCTCCTCTAGCACAGAGGAGCCTCCGTCCCGCCCCCCAGCACGCAGTGCCCACAGCTGGGCTCGGCCTTCGCACTGCCGCTGCGGGCAGGGGATCCCTAGGAGGAGCCTGGTCTTCCCAGGGACGCGGGTCTGTGGCAGGAGGGAGGTCGTGGGAGCGGCCGGGGCGCGCGCCGCCTGGCGGTGACTGCTCGCTGAGCCAGGCTCTGGGCCGAGGGTCCTCGGAGGAAGGGTCGGTCCTCGGCCCCAGGCAGCCGGTGGTGCGCCGCGTAGGTGGCGCGCGGCGGGTAAAGGGGAGCACAGGGCTGCGCTTGCGGGACCTCAGGACCAGTTCATGGGGCCCTTCCACGGGGCAGTTGGGACGTCCCACGCAGAGGCTCGGAGGAGACCTGTCTGGTGCGTTGCACCGGAGCTAGTGGGGCGTGGGGTAGGTGCCGCGGGAAAGAGGGCCCGCTGGGGGCTTAGGAAAGTGTGTGGCAGGTCCTCCCGAGAGAGGGCTCCCCGTCCCCAGCGGCCAACAGTGCCTCCTAGCGTCGGGGTCTGCAACCAGCATCCCCTCGGTGGCCCCGCGCCCTTGACCGGAGTCCAGCCGGGCCAAGAGAGGACCTAGCGCGGTCCCGGCGGCGCCCCCAGCCCCTCCCGGCGGCAGGACGTGCCCGGCTCGTGCACGGCCACCTGGGCCTCCGCTCGCCGCCGCGCGTGGATTCTGGCTCCCGGGCTACCAAGTGTGCCTCCCTCGCCGCGCCGTGCGCACCGTCCGCCAGGGCCGGCGGCCTCCAGCGGCCTCCCGGTAGTCCGGGGGCGCGATCCGCGGGATCCCGGCCAAGCGCGCCCTCAGCTCCTCGCGCACCCGCCCGCCCCGCCTGCCCAGGGGCCCGCAGGCGCGGGCGCGCAGCCCCGGGGAGGGTGCGGACGGGCGGGAGGGGCCAGGAGCGGGGGATGGGGGGTGGGGGCGCAGGCGGGCGGGGCCTGGGCTGAGGTCCCGGGCGCAGGCGGGCCCGGCCGAGCTCGGCGGGGGCGGCGGCGCAGCGGCCTCTCCGGGAGGGGAGGGCGGCAGGCGGGAGGAGGGGCTCCCGGCGCGGGGCAGGGGCGGAGCGAGCGGCCGCCGCGGAACCAAGTGAGTTCGCTTCGGAGCCCGCCGCCCCCGCGCCCCCGCCGCCGCCGCCGCCGCCGCCCGCGCGGGGATGCAGGATGCTGGTGAGCGCCGGGCTCCAGCGGCGGCGGCAGCCTCTCCTGTGGCCGATGAATGCAGACCCGCCGCCTCCGCCCTGGGTCTGGGTGGTCCCCGGCTCGGCCGGGCTGCTCCGTCTGGGCGCCGGGGTCGCGCCCCAGCCCTTGCTACTCGCTACAGCCCAGCCCCCCGCCGCCCCGCTGCTCCGGGGGCCGCCCGGCTGGCAGGCGCCCGGCGAGCCGCTGCCGCCGCTGCTGCCGCTGCCCTCTGCGCCAGACCACGCCGCCGCCGCTGCGCACCACCTCCCCCTGCTCCACGGGCAGGTAACGTGCCCCTGTCCCCGGCCCCGGGCGCCGGGGCTCCGCGTCCCGCGTCCCCTCTGCTCCTGGGTGCGGCCCTCGCGGGTCCCGGCTGCCCTGGCCCCCGGCTCGCGCTGCCCCGTCCCCGGCGTCCTGGCTCCCCAAACCCCAGGACGCAGCAGAGGCAGCCGGGCTCCGGCGGCAAAGTTCATGCTCCGCCGTCCCGCTCTGCCGCCAGGCAGCCTTTTCCGGTATCTTTCTCGGTCTCTCAGCTGAGCCTTGTAGGGACTCGCACCCCGGGGCCCCGCGGGGGACCGGCTCGCGCCCGGGCCGGGGTCGCTGTCCGGAGCGCGGTGCTGGAGCCGCCCGCCGGGGCCGCCCGCGGCCGCGGCGCACCGTGGCGACTTATCGCAGAGAAGTTAATACTTTTACAGTCTTCGCCAGACTTGAAAAGCGAGCTGGGAATCAATAGCTATTTCTGATTCTGATCTGGTTGGGGTTTTTTTTTTTTTTTTTCCATGTGAAATAGACTCGGGACAACGCTTAAGAGAATTCAAACCCGTGGAAGCCGGCAGGGAGATCCTGCCTTTAATCCTGGTGTTCCTGGTGGCAAACTGCCCCCGTCCCGCGCCCCCCCCCAGACCCCCCTGAGCCCACCCCATTAGCCCGCTCAGGCCCCGCTGCGCTTCGGGGCGCTCGGGCCCTGGAGACCTGGGGCAGGGAGGGAAAGTGGCCGTACCTTCGGCTCGTGGTGCGCCCGAGCGAGGCCGGCTGGCTCTGGCGAGATCCATTGTTTGCTCTCGAACTATGCAGATACGTTTAACCGGGGGATGGCGCGCGCTTCATCCCGGGGAGCGTCTTGGTTAGCCTGCGCCGGGGAGCGGTGTGCTGGGGTGCGCCGCCGAGCCCCCTGTGTTCCGACGCTGTCCGCCGAGCTCGTCTGAAAGACGGAAAACTCCTCCCCTGGCCTCCAGACCCGGGGCTCCCTCGCCCAGGCGGTCCTGGAGACGCGTCTCGGTGTGTGATGCAGTTCGCATCGGCTTTTATTGAACCGACGCTGGCAGCGGGTTCAGCCTGTTCCAGGGGCTGCTGTGCCGAGCGCCGCCGCTAGGGGCGCGTGAGGCCCGGGAGCTGCAATTTTCCCTCCGGTGGAGAACGCTGCCCCCCGCCCCCCTTTTTTCCTGTGTAATTTAAAAGGGAAACATTTGAAAACCGGATTCATCTTTTAAGTATTTTTTTGCCACATGTTTTCTGTTCAGGGACCATATTTAGAGCCAAAAGGACATTTTCGCGTGACAGGAGAGTTGCACAAATGCTCTTACGCGGTTGGACAAGAACTGGATGTTGAAGCCTTGCACCTGACCGAGCGGTGATTTCATTCGTCGTTGCCTGATGGAGACCCGATTATTTTAATCAGGGAGACGGCCTCCCGGAGGGCCTGGCTCCCGCGGCACCTGCTCTCTCACCTTGTGCTCGGGGACCTCCGGCGGCCCACCTGCATTGTCTGTGCCTTGGGGTCCGTGTGCCCGGGGAGCTGAGGGCAACTTTACGCCCTGACCCCTCGGCCCGCTGTGTCCTGAAAACGCGGTTCGTGAGTGTCTTCCCAGTGACGAGCTCGGTGCACACCAGGGGCTGTCCTGGAGGGGCCGGCCCGGCACGCCGCTCTCCGCCGGCCGAGAGTCACCGAGGGGATGCCCGGCATCCCCCCTCCCTCGGGGCTCTCACCCCGTCGGGGCAGAAGTCCGCTTCTCCCCTCGCCCCCTGGGGTTGGGCCCAGAAGTTCCTTCTCAGTCTTGAAGGATGCGGTGTGGGCTGTGCATGGTCGTGATGCTGATGGGAAAACATACGTTTTTAAAATTCGTGGAAATGTTGTGGGTTTGTTTTTTTTTTGACTGGGGAAAAAGGGAATTTTTCTCGTAATCAAATACGTATGTTTTCCAGTTCCGTTTGTGAAGAAAGCACCATCCCAGCGTCTCCTGGCGGGAGGTGGAGGTGATCGGTCCGGGCTAACGAGCACCCCTTCTCCCCTCTCGTGTTCCAGTGGCTCTTCGGCGGCCCCGCTCTGTCCGTGGGACTGTCCCCCGCCTCCGCCGCGGAGCTGGTGCCCCTCTTCCCGCACGCCTGCCTGGCTGCGCTGCCGCCCGCCGTCGGGAAAAGCTGGCCGCACAAACGGATGCCCAGTTGTAAGGTGACGACGCACGCGGCCTCATCGGGCGAAGGGGCGGGCGTTACTCAGTCGCTGGGCACCCCCATACCAACGGGAGACCGTGCGTTTCTGCTTGCTGGCCGCACCGCGCTGACCGTCTAGGGGTGGAGAGGGCTCTTTTCGGAATGAGATCTGTCTGCTCCAAAACACCAGCAGATGGTGGGGCCCGGGCTGTTTCTGCGCAAAACATTTGGGCCCCATAGAGCAATATGCATTTTTTCAATTGCGAATCCAAATCCAGTTTTTACAGTTTTCAGTTTCAATTCCATCTGTACCAGTTGATCAAACGGCAGCCTTACCTATTATTCTGTAATTCCAACAGGAGTTTGAACAGCGAGCTTTTCTTGCTGTGACTGCTTGCAGTGTCCATCAGTTTCTGATGGTTTATTTTGGATTGTGCGGTCAGACGTACGGACCACACTTGGTTTAATTGAAAACTAGACAAAGAAATTAGGGCGGCACCGTGTCTACACACACACACACAACTCCCCAGGTGCCTCTTCAGCCCGGAAACGGGCTTCGGGGCCGAGTCAGCCGTCGAGGCCGCCCCGGGCAGACAGCTCCGACCAGACAGCGACTGTGATTGGGTCTTCAGGGTGGAGACGACGCCTTCATAGAGCCCCCACCTCCAGACCCTCTGACGTTTGATTGATGGGAGACAGGACAGACACGCTCAGACCCAGTCAGCCTGCCCCGTGCGTGTGGCCTGAACTGCTTTCCTTGCTTCCTTCGCGGACAGGTCTTGGTGGACAACGCCTTGGCCCTGGACTCAGCGTGGGTCTGCCCCGAGGACTCACGCGTGTTCCACGTGTATGAGAAGCCCCCCTTCCTGGCCAGCCCCGTGGCCCTGCCTCTGTCCGGGCCAGCTCCTGCCCGCCGGCCGCTGCCCGCCGTGGTGTTGGCGCCGCAGCCCCTGCCAGGTAGGTGCCCAGAGCGGCGAACAGGTGCTTTTCTCCTTCTTTTTGTTTCGGCCACAAGTTCGTTTTAGCTACGGAAACTGGGTCTGTCACTTCAATGAAACAGTTTTTAAAAAACTCTTTCAGTAATATATTTCTTATCACGGGCGTGATTCCTTTTGACGAAGGACTTGAGTTTGGGGTGACTTCTCCGCTGTGTTTTTGGGGTGTGGGTGTGCTTTAAGATGAACAGGTGGCTAAGGGATTTGCCCAGAGCGTATTTTTGGTGCTTTGCTTTCAGGGGCGGACTAAATCTGCTGCCGGTGGCCCTCACTGGGGGCACTGAACACTTTGGAAACTCCCTTAAACTCGATCTGGTGGGAAGGGGGGTCTCCTGGTCTGCGGGACGCGTGGGGCTTGGGTGGGTTTTGCCTTCACGCGGAGGGTGGTCCTGGCTACGGTCTGTAATAGCACACTCGTGTGGGAGATGGGTTTGGTTCTGCCTCGGGGGCCTCGTGACCCGAAAGCCCGTCTGTCCCGGAGTAAACTCCCGTGAGATAGCCCCCGGATGAGAGGTTGGGTGATGAACCCGCACAGAGCCAGGAGGGTGAAGTCACCCTGTGAATCTTTAAATCGGTTTTCAAAGTCGCCTTCACAGACGATCGTGCCGTAGAAGCGATCGCTGCCCGCGCCACAGTCGCCCCGCAGCACCGTCCCCCGCGGGGTTTTTTGCGGCTGCAGAATCCCGCCGGCTTCCCGCGGTTCCCTGCCCGCCCGCCGGTCTCCACGTGTGTCTCTAGGATTCGGGAACCAGGGCGCGCCCCCGCGGGGCTGACGTGAGCGCCCGCGGCCGAGGAGACGGCTCTCTGAGCTCCTGCGTGCGCGCACCGGACGCCCCCTACCGTGCGGTGCGCCCCGCGCGGCCGCAAGTCGGAAGAACGGTTCCGCTGTCTTTTTTTTTTTTTTTTTTTTTTTACGAGCCTCGACGCTTCTCGGCTGGAACTGGCCTCTGTCCCTGTCATCGGGCATCACGGGGTTCCTAACTTGTGCGTGCGCTCCGCCCGCACGCCCCTGTGTACACGTGCTGGGCCCAGAGCGCCGCGTCCCCTCTTTCCTGCAGCTGCGGTGCAAGGCGGGTGGCGGGCCGGCGTCGCCCGAGGGCGCCGCGGCTGTGAATGGCTCTTCGCATGGGTGTAAGGACAGTATTTCAGTGTCCCAATGCGCTGTCAATAACTGTTGGCAAAATAATGAGGCATTTGGTTTGAACACACAGAGATTAGTTAAACTGTTTAGACAAATTCTTCGAGTGAACTTTCTGCCTCTCGGCTCCTCCTTGAATGTCATGTGGACGTTTCGCAGGACGAAGGGCACCTTAATCCTCTTCTCAGAAAACCCACCCGATGAACACGCTAAATATCTATTTAGCTGAAGAAGCCATCGACGCGAGGAGCGTCCGAACCTGCAGAGGATTTTTAATGAGAGTTGATTTGAGCCAAACTGGCGCTGGTTGCCAGGAAGCAGGATCTCGGATGCTCCAGAGGATAATGGTTTCGCAGTTTCTTTTATGCATTTGAAATTAAGGAGGGAACCTGAGGAGATTGGAGGCAGCGGCGGGGGCGGGGAGGGGGAGATCGGATTACAAGACAGTTAATAAGATTACGGGTTCTCTGGAGGGTGGCCGCACCTTCCGGGAGGGGTTGCCTTTCCTCCTCTGGAAGGCATGTGAACCCAGGCGCACCAGTGCAGGCCCAGGGCCGGGCCAGAGCCCCTCGCAGAAGGAGAGGGCAGAGAGGGGGCGGGTGGGTGGTGATGGAAAGAGACTTGACCTCGCTGGTGAGCACAGGATGCGGGATCAGACGAGTGCCACTGAGTCGGACCCTGGACACCCACAGGGCTTGATGAACCCCTTCCCCCCCCACACGGCCGGTCAGAGAGAACGAGAAGCTGTGGGCGTGACTGCCCACCGTGACGGGCCCGTTAGGAGTCTGCGGTGGGACCGCCCCGCGTGGTTGCTTCCAGTGTAGCTTCAGGTCGTTCCCAGGTGCCCTCTCGACTGTGAATCAACCTCAGGGACGCGCCCACGACCACCCGCCTTTCGTTCGGGTAGGCCGGTCTCGCGGGGCTGGGCGGGCTCAGCTCTGGGAAGCCTCAGGGCTGACGCCCTGCTGCAGACACGCTGTTCCGCTGGGGATGGGCAACGCCGAGCCCAGGGGCGTGCGGCCGAACGTCCCCCCAAAGGGAAGGGCAGGCGAGCGGAAGGCATCGCTCTGGTCTCCTCCGTCCTGTGAACTCTCACGGCGTGAGTTTCCCCCTTGGCCTCCCATTTTCTGCATGTGGTGTCTGGCACGACGTTTTTGCCGGCCACGAAAGGCAGCGGTAACAGCTCTCTGACGCAGGTTCAGGGGTCGCGACCAGTCGGCTCCGCAGGAAAAGTCACAGAAGGAAGAGGGGGACTGCTGGGGGGGGACTGAGGTCGCTGGCCGACGGGTGAAGACAGACAGTCCGTTGTCTCTCGTGTCCAGCGGCAGGCGGCAGGCGGCAGGCCCGCGGGCCTTGCCGGTGCCCCGGGTGGGGTGGCTGCCTGCCTCCGGCGCTGGCAGCGTCTCCCTCCCCCGGAGTCTCGGGTGTCTGCTGGGGGGGGTGCGTGTCAGGGAGGAGGGCAGGTGTCCATTCACGGTTAGGCGCCCGATAAGGTCCCTTCCAGCGAGACTGGAGAGCGTCTTTTATTCGCTGTCCTTTCCAGTGAACGGAGTCTCCAGGCAGCAGTCGGTGAGCTCCAAGGCCGGAGTCTCCCGAGAGCTCCCCATGAGGGGAAGTGGTTCCCTGGGCGGCATTTTCTCGAGGTGACTGCCTCCCACCTTGACACTGGCTGAGATGTCCCCTTTCAATCATGTCGGAGTCCCTTCGTCCACGTGCAGTGTAAGTGCTCCGGGGAGACGGGGCCTGCTGGGAGCCCCGGGGAGAGCCGCGCGGCTGTCTTGGGTCTCCCATGACCCCGGCCAGTCCGCTACCTCTGAGCCGTGGTCGACCCACACAGTGTGCCCTGGACACTGAGGTCCCCATGGTCCCCGTGGGACTCAACACACAGACAGAACCTCTGGCGCACCCGGGGCCCTGCCGAGACGCTGCGGAGCGGTCCCTCCAGGTGCCGAGGTTTCCGAGAGGCGTCAGACCTCCCCTCCCAGTGTCGTAGCCAGCGTTGTGCTCATGCAGAAAGACTGACCGGGGAGAGTCCACGCGTCCTCACCTCGGCCGCTGGGTGTCCGTGGAGGGCTGACCGTCGTGGGCGGGGCTTGTCGGCCTCCAGGACACGGTTTCCCAGCCCACCTCTGTGTGTGCGACTCAGGGGGGCCGAGGAGCCGAAGGTGGGGGAGACCCCGACGGAGCTGCTTCAGGCCCTCGAGGGGGATGGAGAGCCCAGGTCCCCCAAGGACACCCGAGCAAGGGCCAGGGAGGATCTGCTGGACCCCGCACCCGAACCATGAGGCTGCCCAAGGCACGGGCCCCTCTCTCAGGGGGAACATCCTTTCACGATTTAAAAAGACGCCCTCAACAAATCCGGTGGGAAAGAAACACGCACACCTCATCATACAGGCCACAGGGGACGCACACTCAGTGGTGTGTGGTGTCGGCTTTTCTCTAAGATTGGGAACAGGGACCCTCGCCACCCCTGTTCAGCACGGCGGTGGGGATCCCAGGCGAAGTGGTCAGGCGAGTTACATCAGAAAGGAGGGAGTAAAGTCTTTATGTGCGGGTGATACGATGTTATATGTAGGAAATCCTAGAGACTCCCGCCAAACATCGTTGGAATTAATCAACAAATTCAATGAAGTTGCAAGATACAAAACCGGCATTCAGAAATTAGTTGAGTTTCTATACGGCAACAACAAAATACCCGAAAAAGAAATAAAGAATAAACCCGTTCACAGTAGCGTCAAGAACAGTGAAAACACTTAGGAGTACACTAAACCAAGGAAGGACGAGACTGATACAATGTCAACTACAAGACGTTGACAAGAGAAATGGAAGGAGCCACGCACAGGGGGAAAGATACCCGGGCTCATGGGCCAGAAGAATGGACTTGGTTGAAACAGTCACACTGCCGAAAGCCACCTGTAGAGTCAACGCAATCCCCATCGGATTTCAATGGCGTTCTTCACAGAAATGGAAAAAAGAACCCTGAAATGCTTCTGGAACCGTAAATGATCCTGAATGGCCAAAGCGGTCCCGAGAAATAACAAAGCCAGAGGCGTCGCACCGCCCTGATTCAAACTATACGGCAAAGCCATCGCAATCAAAACAGCGTGGCGCCGGCCTAGACACAGACGCACAGGCCCCGGAGCAGAGCAGGGGACAGCCCAGAAGCCAACTCCTGCCTGCACAGCTGGGGGCTGTCTGACGAGGGGGTGGTCTCTGTGGGGAGTGGCGCCGGGAAAACTGGAGAGCCAGTGCGGGGGGGGGGATGACGTCAGACCCGTCGTCCCCGCTTACGACACTTAACCCGAAGGGAACGAGAGACTTGAACACAAGACCTGAAGTCATCAAGTTGCTGAAACAAAACACGAAGGAGAGCCTCCTGGACGCTGGTCTTGGCAACAACAGTTCTCCAGACGTGTCTCAAAACTCAGCGCGAACCGACACGTGGGGTCACGTCGAGTTAAAAGGCGTCTGCACAGGAGCGGAAGCAATCCAGACCGTGACCGGCGACCTGTGGGACAGGAGAGAATGTTTGTAAACCGTGCGTCCGGTAAGGGGTTAGTACCCAAAATGTACAAGGAGCACGCACAGCTCAACAACAACCCCGCCCCCAAACAAGCAAAGAAGAAGATCTGACTGAGAAATGGGCAGAGAAGCGTCGTGAACATTCCTGTAAGTGTCTGTGAAGACATACAGAGGGCCGCCAGGTGCGTGAGAAGGTGCTCAGCATCACCTGTCGTCACGGAGACGCAGGCCAGCCCCGCGGGGAGACGTCGCCTCCCACCTGCCGGAACGGGCGTGACCGAGGAGACCGGTGTTCTGGGGGG